ACTAGAACAAAACTATCTTACAACAATATCAAGTTAGTAAAACTTTTGTATCTTGTTGAAATTTTTAAATTACAATGAATGGTAGGCGGATATGATATCCTGTTTTAGTTACAAGTAATTTATTTCAAATCTGTTTATTATCATTTAAGACTTAGTGATTCCTTGAATCCATTTTCAAAATTTGAGACTGTTTTAGAGCAAAGTATTAAATTTTTTTTGCTTTTTAATTCATAAGTTGGCAATGTATTTTTTGACAATTTTCTATCGAGATAAAAAAAATATATGAAACTGTCAATGATTGTAAAAGATTATAAACTGTAAACCATGACTTGTAAATTTTGCATATTTTTATCATAAATGATGTCTTATTTTGAAATACAATCTCAATAGCCTGTGAGGAGAGATTGTGTAAATGGATAGTAGAACAAGGAGTGAGAGATATAGTAAAAAGACAAACTTGTGGAGAGCCATGATTAGTAGACAATTGTGATAAGGTATACAGATTATCTTGTTAATATTGTAACAAATGTACATTATGGGTTGTTTGATCTTTTTTTAGATGATCCTGCTTGAAAATGCTGAGGGACAGAAAAAACATTATGAAAAGAAATGTGAAGAGATGGCTCAGCGTCTTCTTGAGAAAGAAAAGTCTCTTGACAACTCTCGAAAGGAAATCAATCATTATCAGGTAGGAAACTCTTTTGCCTTCTTTCTAATTTGTTTTAGCTTTTGTATAATTCATGGTAATTGTTCTGATGTGCTTTCCTCTTTGGTACCTTGATTATACAAATTTAAGTGCAGTACTAGACTGGCAGCTAGGTCTCATTTTACAACTGAAATTGCTAGATGTAACCATAAATTCTGTGTTATGTTTCTTCTCTTGAATTTCTCATTTGTGGAACTCTCTTTGGTTTCTTGATTTCCAGTCAACTTTGATCTTTAAAAAAAAAAAAAAAGCTAAATGCTGTATCAATTGTTATCTTTGTCTTAATTTGATTTATTTATTGTCCTCTCTCCATAATTTTTTTTTCTCAGATTCTTTCATCTTAGTGGCTTTATCACCTTGCTTGAGATGAAATGATGAAAAAAAAAAAAAAAATGAAATTTTAAATTTATTTCAAATTTTCCCGAGCTTTTACTTTTAATAAGAAATAAGATTAATACAGACACTGAAAGTTACAATGGTCAAAGTGTTGTGATAACAACAAAGATGAGGACAATAGTTCACATGTAAATAAGATACAGTGTAACCTGGATATAAGAGAGTTGTCGGGACCGGAGAAGAAGTCTCTTATATCCGGGTTTCTCTTATATCCGGGTTTCTCTTATATCCGGGTTTCTCTTATATCCGGGTTTCTCTTATATCCGGGTTTCTCTTATATCCGGGTTTCTCTTATATCCGGGTTTCTCTTATATCCGGGTTTGGTCTATTTTATATACATTAACACAGGCTCTAATTTGGGACCAGAGAAAATCTCTCTTATACACTGTATATATTTTCTTGTCAATAAGTTCACAGGCCTAAATCTTCTAGTCTCACCAGATAAAACACTAGTATAAATTTGAAATTGTTTCTATTGTAGCCATCATAAAATTATTTAACTTTTAAGAAATGCAAAATACTTTGAAAAATCCTGTGTATGAAATAAGTTGTAGTAGTAGTCATTAATTTTTGATTCAATATCTTTGAACGATATTGATGAATACTTTGAATATTAAACATTAGTCAATTCTTGTTTGCTGTATAGGCCATTTTGATTATGTCTGTGACCAATAGCTGCCTTGCCATAATACAACCAATTCCTGATGATTTTCTGCTTGCTTCCTGCTCTCTGTAAACTTCTGAATATTGCTATTAGGCCTTCTTTACTTGATGTTTGTGTTTGTGTGTTGGGTATAAATGTTTGTTTCCGATAATGTGTAGCTGGGGGTATTCTGTTTTCTGCTTGGCCGTTTCTGCAACATCTGATTCCATTAAACTTGGCGTCCACTGCACCACTTGCTTTATGCAGATGATTTGCAGAAGAGAAAGCAACTTTTAACATCTGTCACCGCCAACCTCTTGTAGCATCTCTGTCCATCTTTGTACAAGGAATATGCTGCCATTGTGTGAGTGGAATTCTGTTCTAAGGAGTTTTTGTAAACATAGAATATTTTAATATTTAAGTCTTAACTCTTTGTTTACTATTAACATTGTTTCAGTAAAAAGAACGTCCATTTATTTTTTTATATAGATATGCTATGAAAAGTTCTTAGAACTTATATTTTGTTTATATTGTGAAATTTAGTTTTATTTATTATTTGGTATAGTTTTTGTATATAATTTGATAAGTATAAGTTTCCTTTTAAATTTCAATTTGACTTGTATCCCCATTTAAGGTTCCAGTCTCTTCTGAATGTTAGAGGACTTAATCTGATTAATAAAGTCTACAAATTTAAAAATAAAACTTAGAAAATTCATTTTAGTTTTCTTAACTTTGACTATTTAAAAAAAAAAAACTTGCTATTTTCAGTTTCCATTTTTTTCTTTTTGATTTTATAGATTCTTCAGTATTTACTTTAAGGCTTAACAAGAGAGAATTGGTTTATCCCCCAGCTATGGGTTAATTAGTAGGACTTACTTCAGTAAATCATTATCTCAAAAAAAAAATTCTTACAATCTAACAATGTTTTCTGGCTTTAAAAGTTTGATAAATCATAAAAACTATCTGGAAACTTCTTGAATAATGTGCGTTAAAAATGAAAGTATTTTAACATGAACAGTCAAAATAAAATAATTTCCCATTACAACTGTAGCTTTGTAGATGTCTTCTTCTGTCAGTTGTATGATTGTATAAATCCATCAGATGATGATTTTGATCAGTCTTTTCTAACTTTTGAGGAAGAAAATGTAAACATCCCATGAAAGTTTTTTTTTTTTTTAATTGTGATAAATATTACTTTATTTGCTTCTCATTGAAATAATATATAAAAAAAGAAAATTATGTACTAAATTGATTACTAGCCTGTTTTGCAACCAGTAGATTTTTATGACTGGTCAGCAGGCAAAATTTCTCTATTTAGTGGAACAGCATTCCACTATTATTGGTCAGTAGATTTGTATACTTGAAAAATTAGTTTCTCTGTTTAAATGTATCGGAAAATTGATTTACCCTTGTTGTGATATCAATGATTTTAGTTGCTTGTGATAGTTCCACTGAATATGGAATGTGACCGAATTTTTATGTGGGTATTAATGCTTCCTAAGATTTAGACAATAACTCTGTGCCTGTGAGAGTGATTGATTGGATAAACAACAACAACACAAGGATTCTATTTGATTTCTTAATATATATATAGGATTGGGGTTTACGGAATAAATTCCAATAACCAACAATTACTATTCTTAAAGAGTGCTCAATAATGTAGTAGAGCAGATATAATTCAACATCATCACTTGATAAGACACTGGAGGTGTTGAAACAAAATGGCTATTTTTGTAGTGATTTTATAACATTTTATATATATATATATATATATATATATATATATATATATTTATTATATTTATTAAAAGACATTTTTATGTTTAATGTTTCTTTTTTTTATAGATACAAGTATTTAAGTAAAATGCTCTGTTTATAATAAACAGTATTAAATAACATTTACCAGCCTGAATGTCCGAGAAATTTTCATAGAAAATATTCGTCCTTTGACAGGATTCAACCGCATCCTATACAGAATATATATTTACGCTGACGTGCCTAATATCGCCACAAAGGATCGTTCGTTGGCAAGGTCGAATTTACTGCTTATAAACTTCAATCTTCCATGAATCTCGTACATTCATAACTGATATCAAATTTCTTAATATATATTATATTATATATTTGTGTATTTAGGCAGCAAATTCTCTTTTTGGCATATCTGATTAAATAAATTACAAGCATTATGTCTGCATATTTTTAGCATAATCCGTTCATAGCCATGAATATTTTTTTTATATATTACAATCAAATGAGGCAAGAAATGCATTGTAACAGTGAAAATCACTTGTTTCTCAAGTACTTTCTATCTCTTTCTACGATCATCAGAGGTGTAACTGGTAAAGCAAAAATAAAAATGTATAATTAATGGATTTTTAAAAAAATATTAATCTGACATTATTTCTCATTACTTTAAACATATTTTTAGTGGATGCCCATGTTTGAGTTGACACCCTGCTTTTTTATTTTTATTATTTTTTTATTTTATTTTTTACATCTACTTGCATGTGTATCCAAGTTTTACTAAAGAAGAAAAATGCCCTCTATCAGGCTTGTTTGAAAGCTGCATCCCCCTTTTGTAGGGAAAGCTTTCTGAGTGAACAGTCTAAATCAAACCAGATCATACTGTGGTTCCCCTGCTAAAGGGGACACAGGTTTGAATCCTACCAGATGACACGTTTTCTGTGTTAAGACTCTAATATACAGGCTGGTAGAGGGATAAAATTAATCAATTTAATTTATTAATAGACATCGTATGTAGTTTAAAATAGGCTATATAAAAGTAAATATTTGATGTTGATATTATTTTATTTGTTTCCTTCAGGATTTTATTACATAACATAATCTAATCTGAAATTATTCAATGATACATGGTGGATAATTTAAAATAATTTGATTGTAGTGTACTGGTTGATTTTTAAAAAAAAAAAAAAAAAAAATTGAGAGGAAACTTATACAAGAAGAGACAGCTGAAATTTGGAGAACACATAATGAGGAAAGAAGGCTTGGAAAATCTGATACTCACAGGGCATTGAAGGCAAAAGGATAAGAAAATCCATAACATAACTAGCAAGCTTGAGTAAATGGATGGCAGAACAGTGTTTGGGAGAAATAACAAAATTTGTGGAGAGTTATGATTGCCTACCCACTGAGGAGCCATAGTACATAGAAGAGAATTATTTACTGAATTTTTATTTTATTTTTTTTAATATTTTGTCCCTTGACTGGTGTCACTAATTTGTTTTCTGTTTTGGTTGTTTAGACATTGAAAACTGTTTGTTATTGCATATGTAGGTGTTTGTCTTTTGATCTTTTCTTTTCAATTTCTTTTCCTTTTTTCTCTCTCTTTTTTTTTTTTTTTTTTTTTTTTTGTTACTTTCTTTATTGGTTTTTTTTTTTTTATTACTTTCTAGCTTTTGGGTTGGTGATGTCATAATTGCAGGTTTTGAATATATATATATATATATATATAAAACACATTAAAAAAATCTACAATTTCCATATCATTTCATTTCCAAGACAAGAAAGCCATGCAAAATATATACCCACAACAAAAATAACATTATCATACATAATAATAAATTATATAAGAACAGATACATAATACTAGCAACCAACTCTGCCACGTCCACTATCCAGAACAACCTATCCCATCTAAATAATATCAAAATAATTACAAAATTAAAAAAAAAACATTATGGATATAATCAGATCCACAAATATCTATAGCAATAACATTTCTGAAACAGGTATTATATATATATATATATATATATATATATATATATATATATATATATATATATATATATAGTTAATGGTCAGAGTTGAATTAAACCAGGAAACAGTATTAAAAAAGTGTTCAATGCACATATAAAAAGATAGATTTAACATGTAGAGCTTTTAAATATAGAAAATTAGGAGATCAGCCGATTACATTACCTTGGTTTCAACTTTTTGGTATCCTCGGGTGATTTCAGTTAATTAATTTCCTAACACTTTATTTTTTTTTTTTAAATTTTTTTAATTTTTTAATTTTTTTTTTAAATTTATGAACATTATATTTGAAAAAAAAAGAAAAGAAAAGTTAGGCATTGTAGAAGAGGTGTAGGTGGAGGGTGAAAATCATGTGTATTGGAATTGTATCAGTGAGGGGATTAAATGAAATATCTTTTTTTTTTTTTTTTTATCCCACTTCAAATGAACTCAAAAGGAACATTTTATATATATATATATATATATATATATATATATATATACTGATCATAATTTCCAATCTCACATTCAAAAGGTTTTTTTGGTCTGTAAATGTTATAGTTAATTTTCTTGTTGACAAAGGCTGCATATGTTGCTTTTTTTTTTTTTTAATTTTCCAGTTTATAATCAGATCTTTCTAAGGCTTTCTAGCTTAAAAGATGACTTATGATTGTAGATTGGTGTGGAAATCTTTTTAAAATTAAAAATACTTTTATTTGTTAAAGAATTAGTGTTTATAATTTTTTTTTTTTTTACAAAATAAACTAAATCAACTGACTGAAATTGCCTGAAGATACTGAAAGACTGAAACCAAAGTAGCATAATTGGCTGATTTCTTAATTTTGTATAAAATATATGTATTCAAGCAAGTTTCATTGGATAATAGATATATGTTTATTTTTAAATAATCCTTTCCAGTTCTGTAATTAGCTTCTTGATAAGTTTTGAAATTCATCAAGGCAGCATAGTTTTTAACCCAATTATTTTTGATCTACTCAGGGCATATTGTGAAGACTAACTTAATGTGACTGATCATTGTGATGGTGATTTTTGTGAACATTTTCTGATATAATTTTAAATTTATCAATTGTAACTATGGTGTTTTTTTTTTTTGTTTTGTAAGCAAGTATCCACAGTGTAAGGGAGCTAACCAGAGATGGTAAAAATGCAACACAGCGTTAAATGTTCCTTGATGAATTTCAACTTAACATCAAGAAGCTAATTAGAGGACTAGAAAGGATTATTATAAAAATAGACATATGTCTATATTATCCAATGAAACCTGCTTAAATGAACATATGGTGCCTCTTTCATACATATATAAGCGACTTCATGTAATACAATGTTATTTTTATTTTTAAATTGTTGTAAAGATTTTATTCTATCTTTCAAATAGTTAAGTGGCTATTTTTCCTGGTGAGCTATTGAGATTCCCATGGAGGCATAAATAAATTAAATGGTAACCAGTTCCCTGTTATAAAATTTTCAAGTAGGTTCAGACAAAAAGTATTAAATTTAACTCTGTCAACATTGCAAGATACCTCCCCAAACAAACCTCCTTTTTCTTTAAGTAGGATAATTATTATATATTTGGTAACTAGTTAATAGTTTTTGATAGGCTGCCATTGTTTTCAGTAGTTTTACTCTAGGAGTTTTTAAACTCCTCTTTGGACCAAAATATTCAATTTTCAATATATTAAATTTAACATTTTCCAAATGAACACTGCAAATTTCTAAGAGCATATAATGTTTAAACAAATTTGTTTGCTTGTGAAATATTAAATTTTTTGGCCAAGAAACATTTTTATTGTATAATTTAATCTCAGGATGGCAATTGTGATGGAATGTTTTTATTTCTACGGTTTATGATTTAAAAATTCTTATTCTCAGCACCGTTGATGTTTACATGAAGGAAATTTTTATTTTAAATTTAATAAAATAAGTTGATTTTAAAGCATCAATAAATTTGAATTGCTCTGTATAACTACACATTTTCTGTATTGATTTTTTTAAAAATTTTATATTAAAAAAAGAAAGCTAAAGTTTATTGAGGTTTGAATTCTTCAAACTTATTGCAATAAATTTTGTTACCTTTCAATAAAATGTCAGTGTCTGCTGCCCAATTTTTTTAGAGATTGTCAGGCACGTAGTATTGATTTTCTAAGTGAGGCTTAGATGTGGCACATGGCCAAAAGTATGGGGCACCCAGTGAGGATCGAACTCACTATTTAGTTGTAACAGTTTTAGCAAGACCAGCTTGCTAACCATTACACCACCTGAAGGCGCCCTGTCAGGCACAGAGTATGATGACCAGTACTGCCACTGAATGTTTTTTAATGTTAGCATTGTCTATACATTGGAAATGATTTTTTTTTTTTTTTTTTTTTTTTTAAGCTTTTCACTCCAAGAAAGGTGATATAGCTGTTAAGATGCAAAGGTTAACTGAGAGTGAATGAAAATGAAGCTAAGAAAATGTTACTGAGGGGGGGTAGAACACTAAAAAAAGTTTTCAAGGAGACAGACGACAATGAATGCATTTGAATTTTTGAAGATCGTAGTTGACTAGAAAGCAAGAAGCCGAAGGAGTTCCACTGGCGAGAAGTGCAAGAAAAGACACTATTAAAATAGAACTTAGTTACATTTAGCTACTCCAATAGTAAAAAGGTGAGACATAACTGCCAATCTAGACTTAAATTGGCAGTGGGGAAAAGATGCTAGGTCAAGACCAATAACACTGCAGATTTTTCTTTGGATTTGGGAAACATTTTATTGTGCAGAAATTGTTGCAGGGATGACAACACAATTGCTTTTGTTGGTTTCTCTAAAAATTTGTGTATTCACCCTGTTAGTTATTTGTAATCTAAAAGGTCTTGCAACCTGTCAATGTTAATCTCAAATATAATCTCATCAAATGTCACTGGCAATATAATTTAAATTAGTAAAATACTGATTTAGAATTTAAAAAAAAAATTAGAATCTGATTAATTTTTTTTTCTTCTTGAATGGATAAATTTGGGGAAAACTCTCATTGCCTAATTTTTGTTTTCTAAAACTTTTCTGTTCCGTAATAGAAATACTTAAAATCCAAATGTTTTGGATTGTTGCCCATATTATTAACTGGTTTTTATTCAATTTGCATCTTTTTTCGTTTTTCATGGAATTTAAGGGACGTAACTCCGTCAAGAAGTTTTCAGATCTCATAATCTTCACCATTTTATAGGTCACACTGCCTGGTTTGTATTTTAAGAAAATACATGTCTCATGTACATGACACAAATGTTTACTTTTTTAGTATGCTGATGTCTCAAATGTTCTTTTTGCTTCCTTTTTCTTTAAGGACTTGATGGAAGGTTCTCAGGGACAGTACATTGCCTTAGAAAAAAAGATGCAAGGGGATTATTCCATATTAGAAAAAAAATATCACAAAGCAAAGAAATTAATAAAAGAATTTCAGCAAAGGTAAGTCATCTAATAATATTATTAGATTTTCTGTTTGATGGATTGTTGAGGCTTGTTAACAATCGCTTAATAAGACCATCTATGATTGGTTTTAAGATGGGAAATAGTGGAATTTCATCTTGAAATAAAGATATAAGGAATAGTCTTTTAAGGATGGTGGATCTGTATATTGTTTTACAGAGATGGAGACCAAATGCCAAGTTTTGTTAGGCCAATGGGAATTTCATATTAACCATTATATATATATATATATATATATATATATTTTGTCATCCAAAGACAGACTGTTTAGTTGTCTCACAGCTCATCAGTGTGGCTAGACATCTGATTGCCTCAAGCTGAGATCAAAACCTGACTGATTTGGTATCAGTTGGAGACTCTACTTCTAGGCCATTGGTGCATGGCAGGGATGAAGGTGAATTTAGACATATTTATTTTTAGATAAACATGCCAGTGACTGAGAGAACTTTCCTCTCTTTTATATATATATATATATATATATATATAATACTTATTATAAAACCCAGGTTGTGTGTGTGTCTGTTTATATATTGGATCGGATTTCCTACATTTTTTCAACCAATTTCAACAAAACTTCACAGGACTATGTAAAATTACCTTGTGGTGGTTCTGACAGTGCCAAAAATTGGAAAAACACAATTGTTTTTGCATGAAATCAATTTGAAAACACGATTAAGAGGTATCGCTTATTATAAAACCCAGGTTGTTTGTGTGTGTGTTCATTTATATATGGGATCGGATTTCCTACATTTTTCAACTGATTTCAACAAAACTTTTTTTTTTTTTTTTTTTTTTTTGGCAGGTAGTGTTTCTTATTGTCTTGCACACTTTTTTTTCTTTATTTTTTACATTCAGAATGCTTTAAAAAATTCCATTTACAAGACAATTGATTATAATAAAATTATATTCAATCGATAGACTCATAACGATTGAAAATGATGTTTTTGTTTGGTTTGACCAATTTGTAAAAAAAAAAAAAAAAAAAACTAATTAATGTGTCCCAACCTTAAACAATAATCTTTTTTCAATTTTATTTTCAGTCTTTATGATGGTCAATACTTGATTTATCTCTTACTGTTACATCCCCGGCAACGCTGGGCTCTACTGTTAGTATATATATATATATATATATATATATATATATATATATATATATATATAATGGTTATCCCTTGAGGTTGAACATGATGTTCTTGATCAATTTTTGCTTGGAAGGTGTTTCGGCATTGAGAACAGGTTGTTCTAGATGGTAGAGTAGCCCTTGTTTGTTGTCCTTCTTTTTTCAGCCTCTTCCCCCCCCCCCACCATAGTTTTTGACAATGGATCTTCAGATATTCATGTCCATTGCAGTGGATTCCCAGATGTTGGTTACATTTCTTCATGTCTTGTTTTAGAATGTCCTTGAATCTTTTCTTTTGACTTCCTTTTTTCTGATTTCCTTCTTTAAGTTGGGAGTAAAAGATTTGCTTTGATATGTGAGTATTATCCATTTGCACCAGATGCCACTACATCAAAGCTGACTTTTTATGAGGATTGCTTCAATGCTGGTTATTTGAGCTTGTTCCAGTATGCTGATGTTAGTTCTTCTGTCTTCCTTCAAGATACTTCGACTATAACACTGAAATTTTTCAAGGAATTTCAGATGTTGCCAATAAGTTGTTCTAGTTTCAATCGTATACAGGAGAGTTGGAATCACTATTGCTTTTTACACTAACATTTTACTGTCTGTTCTGATATCATGATCTTGGAAAATTCTATTTTGAAGGTGACCAAAAGCTGATCCTGCACATTTGAGACTGTGTTGTATGTCATCTTGAAGGTCACTGCTAAATGACAGATGGCTACCAAGATAAGAAAATTGACAATGTTGGCACTATTGAAGACTTAAATCTTTGCAATGAATTTACTCAAAATGCATTTTGAGAATAATGTGGATGCAGTTCTGGCATAAATGTTTAATGAGGCATCAGAGGCGCACTGATAAATGACCCCAGATTCTGTACCACAGATGAGAGTGGACAGCTTGATGACTTTGTAGACCTTTATTTTAATGACTTGTCTGCCAAAGGGTGGCATTTCTTTTGCTAGTCTATGGATATGAATTATACCAAAATTAATCTTGAATCATGTTCAGCTTAGTTGTACTAGTAGAAATGGAAGATGGGTGGTGCTTTTGACAGGGGACTGGTTTGGGAGACAGTTTTCTTCAGATGGATTAATAAATGAGAGTTCAGTTGCCTTTCTGGAATAGGACATTAGTTTTGGTCAGATTGATGAACAGGCATCACCTCACTAAATTTGTTGCTTTAGTGTGGGCCTGATTTTAAAAAAACCCAAAAAACAAACAAACTTTGAGTCTGGACAAAGTGTGAATCTTTATAAACATCTGAGCAAGATTGTAGTAATGTTGCTAGGCAAGAAGGAATATTTCCAGTTTGCATTTCCCATTATAGGTATTAGTATATCTGTGACCTACCATCACCTTTTACTACAACAGATGTAACAGAATAGCTGAAAGAAAAAGAATAACAAACAACACACATATATATATATATATATATATATATATATATATATATATATATATATATATATTAAATATATTCCAAATAACGACATAAAAGAATGTTTCCAAAACAAAGAGGCGAAAACTCTAATATAATTATTTAAATTAAATTGAGTTAAAATAAGCTCTGTTCCATCTTCAAGCGAAATTTTTTTTGAAATAATGTGTTTCTGAAATTTACGTGTTTTAAAAATTGAAATCAAAATTCCCAAAAAAATTTCGCTTGAAGATGGAACAGAGCTTATTTTAACTCAATTTAATTTAAATAATTATATTAAAGTTTCGGCTCTTGTTTTGAAACATGGGACTTCTTATGTCGCGATTTGGAATCATATTTTTAAATAAATAATTATATTTATTCTCTACTTTTGTATCGAGCACTATTTTTTAATAATAATAACTAAAATACTAAGAGACTTTGGATTATTTACCTAACCAGTTCCTTCATATTTTCTATATATTTTCACACACACATATATATATATATATATAATATATATATATATATATACACACACACATACAGAAACTATAACATATGTATACAAGTGGTGTGAAAGGGTGGGAAAAAGGGAGAGGGTCTTATTGTAATATTTTTGAAGGGAAAATGGCCAGGCTGGTGGTGTCTTCTGTGTACTTGGTGAGACCATTTGGTTTCCTCTGCTATCTTAACTGTTGTTTTGCTTCTCTGCTGTTTATATAGCAACTGGCATGGACACAGACATTTTACCTCAAAATATGCTAAATAGCAACTGGCATTCAACACTCTATGAATTGACATTGCATTTCTCATCTGATCTTCGTGACTTACTCTCAGCCAATTAATCACCCTTTGCATCCCTGCAGTAGTGTTATGATTCTGATTACAATTCAGGTGAGATGCAAAGATAGTCACATGTTAGATAAAAAAAAAAATTCCTACTAAATTGGTTGGATGATTGGCTTTTGATTTCTCTTCTGTTCATTAATGAAGAAATTAATTCAGTAGAGTAAAAATGTTGAATTTTTATTTTGATGAAATACCAAAAGCAACATATGATATAAAAGAAAGTAAAGTTTTGTGGGTTTGATACAATCATTAGTTTTTGTGGCATGTTGTTAAGTTTCTGTACCAATGTGTACAGGGAATTTTAGCTTTTTTTCTTCTTCCATAACATGAGGGCGAGTAATTTTTTTATGTAATATCAGCTTCCTCTAAAGTGCACATACGGACATCACACAGTCTGTTAGAAATGCTAGTAAGAGGTTGTGGGGGGGATTGTGCATACGTATATCCACAGAACCTTTCAGAACCCCTTATCTGTTCATCATTAGGCAATGCTTTCATTACGATAATCTTGCTTAAAGTCCTATGAAACAAAGTAACTTAATCTTGAAAGAGGAAAACACAGTTGAAGATTTTAAATTGGAGAAAGAAATGAAATTTGAAAATGTAGCATAAAATCTTTATTGTCTCCGAGAAAAGATGATTTAAAATTGTCAAAAGAAAAAAAAATCAGCAAATTATCTCTTATTCAAACAATTTTTTTTTTTTTTTTTTTGTCAGAGAGAAGGATTTTATTCAAGAAAGAGAATCGTTATTGCAACAACAAAATGAAAGGGACCAGCAATACAATGCTTTAGTGAAGTCATTAAAGGACAGAGTAAGTATAAACATATTTTTAAATTTTTTTTCTAACAGTTGTAGAACTTGAAACTTAAAAAACAAATGTTTTAAAAACCATAAACAGGGTTTGGCAGAAATACCTTCCACATAAAGGTAAGACATTTGTGACAGTGGTGATTTCAAACATGGGGCAATTTGATTTTTATTGGTGTAAGTCAAGAATGTGTTATTAACAGTGAATTTTTTTTCATATTCATCTGTGTGCATATTGTTACACCCAGGGTTTTGTTGGGACTACGATAGCCGGGATGCAACGAGAAAATAAAAAAAAAAAAGAGATCCCTAGGTTCGATATAAAAATAAAGAAAAGAACGTTGGGAGGAGAATTCTCCTATTCCGGATGTCGGTAAATGCAGAGAGAAAATTAACTATACGCAGACACAGAACAGCAGAAGACAACATGAGAATATATAATACAAAGATTTTATTTATAGAATACACAAAGTGTGAATCTAAGAAAAAGAAAACTAAATAATACGAGGGATGGGGAGATAAGTTACCAATTAAACAGATACTAATGCGGCGAAATACATGAATACGGAGATAGCAGATTATAAGATATGGAAAAACATGCAGAAACTTACATAAGGTTGGAATTGACATCGATTGACTATTATCGGGGTACAGTTTGATCAAAGGGATATTCATACACTTCTCTGAAAGTAAAGGATGGGATTGTCAATGTTCTAATATGAGTTCTTGACTGACAATGTCCAATACGTGTTGATGGCGCGGAGAACACACAGAAAAATCACGGGAGTGTAGCTGACTTGGGTTGAGGATGTTCTAGATTCTTGCGTCGGTCCTTTGGTTTATGGTGGCATCGAATTCTTCTGGCATCAAACAATGAAGTCTGGTTTTGGTGACAAATGCTTCTTCTAATGGCAAACAGCTAAGACTGGTTTTGGTGACATCCAACTCCTTCGATAGCCAGCAACTATGTGAGATCGTTGTTACCTCAACATGTGTGAAACGAAAACTGCTATATGTTGAGTCAAAACGTGTTGGCCCCCCCAAAAAAGTATGCATCATTCACGGACCCTGTTAATTTCATTCACACTTATCTGTCAAACAGCGTTCGTTTGGTCTACGATTATGGACTTGGTTAACATCATTTGCACATATCTGTCAAACAGCATTTGTTTGGCCTATGCATCAGAGACCAGGTAGGAAATGGGGGGAGGAAGGCAAGGTTCTTTTCTGAGAACTGGCCCTGACTCATCTGGGTATAAAAACAATATATATCTCACAATCTGCATATTCAAGAAATAAAGAAGTTATTAAGATTCATATGTTTTGTCGCAAATACACAAGGTACTGAAAATATACTTATAAAATCTGAGGTGAGGGTACAAATATGGGGTTAACGTAACAATATATACAGTGCATATGCAGTAAGCATACATAAGTGTACGTGTGCACACGTTATTGCGTTCATATTAGTAACATAAGTGGTAATAATGGGATCACAGCCATCACCTGAAAGAAATGTTCTCCCAAGCTAGCTCCAGTTCTCTCCAAACTCTATAACTATTGCCTTGCTGCTTTCCTGCTTGTTGGATGTCCTCCTCTGTAGTTAAGAACTCTGGATAACCTTCTGACCCCCTCTATTGTCCTATTAGTCTCCTACTGCTTTTTGGCAAAGTATTTGAGGCTTTAATCAATGTTCAAGTGGTTAAGCATCTTACCTCTCACAACCTACTCTCTGATAAACAATATGGCTTCTGTTTTGTCAAGTCTACTGCTGATGTGCTAACGGCTATCACTGAATATGTATATCAAGTTCTTGATAATAATGGTGAAGCTTGAGCTGTGACTCTGGATATCTCAAAGGTGTTTGACAGTTTGGCACACAGGTCTTCTACATAAGCTCCAGGGCTATGATATTACTGGATGTGTGTTTGATTTAATTCAATTGTTCCTATCAAATCAAGACATGAAGGTTGTTTTGAATGGGCTTGCTTCCAGATTCTTTCACACAGAGACTGGTGTTCCCCAAAGCTCTATTCTGGGTCCTACACTGTTTCCGATGTTCATTAATGATCTTCCTGATGCCATCAGTTCCCAAATAGGCATTTATGCTGATGACACTATCATTTACTCTTGTCTCAATAGCAACTCTACCAGAGTTGACAAAGTTAACCTCGCCACTGCTCATGAAAAAGACCTCCAGTTATGACGGCACAAACTGGGCAAGTCCGTGGTCAATCCCTATGGCCAGCCTTGGAGTTGGTTGCTCTGATACTCAATTCCGCCCTGTCCCACGTTGTGTTCATTTTAGATCACAATGTGGGTGAAGCCTGAGCTGTATACTCAATGTCACTGATCAACTGTGTAACATAACAACTTTGTATCAAAGATTCATACAATGAATGTACTATTCACTAAATTAACAACATGCAGATTTTCAGTACCCTCCCTCTTAATACCCAGTGACACTATGTTTAACCATGCTCATTAAACTAGTAAAAGGCTGGAATCTGATTTCTTTGGGCTGACTATTCAGTTGTAATTGGTAGCCTGGAACAAGACCAGAGTCTTTTTGCAGAAGTTGTGTGGGTTTTGGCAAAACAGGTCTCAAACCAACTGGCATGCATCTCTCTCACAACTAGCACCCCGAACTCTCTGGTTCCTTATCTTAATACCCTGTACTGTCTCTCACTTTGGTCATCTGTATTTATGGACCTTTGTGCAAACTTGGCATGGGGCACAAAGTGTTTGGGAGTTCCCAGGGAAAGCCCAACATCTATACAGAGCCTTTCGTTGTCTGGTTTTGGGAAATTGATTGCCTGACCAAATTTGGGGAGATCCCTCCCCCAAAGAGTGGTGGTGGTAGAATATCAATCAGCCCAACTCATCTCATGTGGGTGCTTCTCACCATCACTGCCCAAAGGGTGCAGGTGATTCCTCTGCCTTCCTTGAAATTCTACCTGTGCCTCCACCTCTCTCTCCGTCCCCTAATCAAGCTCGTTCTCAGAGGTTTAGAGGGCGTGGTTTAGCCCACATGGCTAAATTCAATTATCATCTCATATTTCCATCAGTGGGGAATTCTTATCACATCCCTAGTTGTCGGTTACATCTGGGTTCTGTCATCTGTCACCTTCTCTCACCAGTTCTTTGGTCAACAGGCAACGGAAAAAGCTAATTCCTTTGTTTTAATAAATTTTATCGCGTCTTAGGCAGACGAACAAAAATAAAAAAAAATGTACCAACAATTTCATTTATGTTTCCCTACTGGAAACATGTTGGTCTTAAAATCTAAATCTTTATCAACTGACTGAATTTTGGCCAGAGTCCTGCTTTTGAGAAATAGCATTTTTCTTGTTATTGGTATACTTTCAGTCTATCGAAAAACATTGTTTTTCTTGTTTTCCAGTTTATTTTGAAAGCCTTTTTTTTTCCCCCAATTTTACCAGCGCCTTCTAAATGTCACACAATCAGTGGTTAACTGGGTCAGGAAATAGCTTGTAAATTTTAATAGCTTCAAAACTAAATTTGTCTCATTTAACCATAGAGAAACTTTCCTGTCTGCCATCAGCATCCGTGCATTGAATATCTTGTCAGGTGCTCCTGTTAATCTTGAGGTTCTTGACAAAATCCAAAGAAGGATCTGCAATGTTATTGATCCTGACTTGGCATCTTGACTTCAGTCACTTTCTCTCTGACATGACATGGCTTCCCTCTATCTTTTCTACAAATGTTTTCATGGTTACTGCTCTGTCAAGCTTTTTTTCTCTGGTGCCCAGACTATGTGAGTTTTACTATATTGGCATTTAGTTCTCACCCTTTTACTGTTTAATTAGGTAAGTGTAACCACCACTCCTACTCAAGTTTCTTTTCTCACACTTCCCACTGGTGGAACTCCCTTCAGTTTCCTTTTGTCCCTGATAACTACAATCTTCAAAAATCTAAATGCAGCGTCAATCACCAACTTCTATTTTCCTGAACCTGATTTAGCTTTTATCCTTTCCTTGGTCCCCACTATACCCAGTCTTTTCTCTCATCTTCACTCTCTGTATCCCCCCCCTACATACTAGTAGCATTCCCGCCTTGCTTGAGGTGAAATGATTTTTTTTTAAAAAAAAAAAAAAAAAGAAAAGTTTTTATAAATATTGCAAAATTTCAATATTATTGCATATAAGCAGGCTCAAGTTCTTAAGGAGTTTACTTTTTGAATAATAAGAATTATGTCACAGGGGTGTGGTGGGGGCACCAATATTTGAGAGATACTTAAAAAAAAAAAATTGATCTAGCTAATGTCTTACCATTGTGTGTATTTCTGTCGCACATTAAATTAGCATGTTAACTTTTTTTTAAATAGGTTCCGTTTTCCATGAACATGAATTTATTTTTTGTATAATTAGCAAGGTTAATAATTTTACAATTCGTTAGAGTTTCTAAACTATTTTACATTTATTAATGATATCTTAGAACAAATTTTTTGTCAATCACATATTTTAGGCAGGAAATGTTAGTGCAACAGAGATGATATCTGTTTCTAATCATTGCTGTATTTAGTTTATTAAGTACATACCTTCATGGACTAGTTTAATTAGAATAGCTTTTGATTAAATACTTGAAGAACACCTAAAAGCTATCTACTTTATATTTTTTAATTATTTGTTCCAATATTAAAGCAATCAGGCAAATGTAGCAAGGGAGGTAAATCCTTGTTAATCTTAGGTTTTGCTTTGTAGATATTCCAGTTGGAGCATGACTTAGCCGAAGCCCAAAAGGCTGCCGGCCTACCGGTGCTCATTCCAAGAGACTCAGCTTCCCCTTCCAGTCAAAGAGTTGAAAAAACCACTGTTGCCTTGGGAACTGCCACAACTTTACCAAAATCTCCAGGTAAATAAGTGAGATCATTCACCTTTGCAATGAAAGAAATGGCCATTTTTCTTTTGATATTTTTTATTGCTTTAGCAAAAGAAACTTTTTTTTTTCTTTTTTTAAATATCAGACTTTGCTTTTATTCTTTTTTAAAAGCAGATTTATAAAAGCCAGAAATAATTTGAATTTAATTTACTTGTAAGTATTTCCTGGACATTATTTTATGGGAAAAATACTATTATTCTTGAAGATAACAACAAAATGAAAGGGACCTGCAGTACAATGCTTCAATGAAGTCATTTTCTTTTCATTCCCAAATGCTATAATTATTGCTCCTTTTCTCTCTAATATTTACATACTTCGTCTTTAAAATTTAAGTTTTACCTTGATTCAGTTATAGGCAACAAATACTTTCAAATTTTCATATTGTTTTGTAGCCATTCATTTTGTAATATATAAATTTTCTTTTCTATACTTGAAAATTTAAAAAAGATTTTGTAATCATAGAAGCAATATGAAAAAACAAAACAAATGATAAATATTAATTGTATATTATTTTGAGTGTATTACAGGTAGAAGATTATAACGCTTCAGTTTTTGTATCTAAATGGATATAAAAGTTGCTAAAATTTCGACAAACAATTTGTATCATAAACCTAATATTTTGAACAAAAATAATTTGTGATTTTTCTAATAACTGCTTTCCATCCCTATTTAAACCATATTACTTGGTCTTTTGTTGGTCATAATATTTGGGTGATATGGATTTTGCCAAGTATGAAACTGACTGGATGAAATACATTTTTGCTTCACTTCAATTGGTGATGGTTAATAATAATCTTTCCTTTTTTTTTTTTTTTTTTTTTTTTTTTTTTAAGCAAATGAACTGGGAACTTTAGTTTTCTGAAATTATAGACTTTTTTTTTTTTTTTTTTTAAAACAATAAAAAACAAAAAAATCCCAAATTAATCTACAAAACACATACTCACAATCAAAAAAAAAAAAATGTAAAAAGTCTTTTCTGGCTGTTTCTTTCATTGTTGAAGTATAATCCTGTGCTGTCATGTGATTCCTGTCTGGAAAAACAATCAGTCTGCTGCTTGGACAGAATTCTGATATTTTTGTATACAGGCATTGGGTGATAAGTAATTTTATAGATTCTATTTCAGAAATGGTTATCCACCCTATCATTTTTTTTTTTTTTTTTAAATTTAAATTTTTGATGATTCAGTGGCCATCAATTTAAGTAATCAAGTTTATTTGTTGCTATTACAAATAAATGTCCTTTATTTATAAAGTAATGCTGGAGTTGAAGAGTCTAGTGAATAATGATATCTCGTGAGTTAAAGTGAAAAGATTCTTAATGTTGGTGGATAAGCAGGTTTTATTTGCTCATAAAAAAAATGAAGATTTATAGTGCCTTATATGAATTTAGTGAAAATTTGTTGGTGTGGCAGCTATGGATAAAACATTTAAGTAACAAAACAAAACAGGATAAGAAAGGATTTTTGAAAAAAAAAAAATTGCTTTTCTATATAAGTAACATAAAAGATAGTTTCAAACCATATATAAGAGTATCTAACCTACTTTAAAATTTTAAGTGTAGGGTGGGAATGATTTAATTGAAAGACTGACATTGAGATTAAACTCTTGAGAGAATGTTTGTCATTTGTTCAATTTGAGAGGCACTTGTGAGAAAAATGTCACGTACAGGAGGATGAATCATCCTCATTTCCTTCATATTCCATTAGTAAGGAGTAAGTTTCACTTGGATAGCTTTTTCCTAAAAATAGCTGCTTTGTGGAACAGACTGTCAACAGGATGTTTTTGGTCATTACAGTCTCAAGTCTAGGGTTAACCATTATCTTTCTGATAAAACTTTATGAATTGCACTTTTTTTTTTCTTCCACTAGTACAACACCACACATTAACCCTCTTGAGTGGCTCTGGGGCTTTGTATTGGCTGAATATTAGTATAAAAAATGTTTAATCAATGGTTGATAAATTACTTTTCATTTATCATTCATCAGTACCATTTTACTTATCACATAGTGGGTGTGGGGAGCTGTCATAATGGCTATAGCAAAAAATGGAATTAGTGAACAGAGTTCAAATTCTGGCCTTGTCTGTGTTCATTCCATACTAATTTTGACAAATGCATGAATCCATCTTTTCCCTCACTCTATGGGGTTTTCTAGTATTTGATGGTAACTAGTCTAGGAAAAGGACTACTGGAAAAAAAAAAAAAAAAAAAACACTTTCCCAATAACAGTCAGGGCTATTTACACATAAAAATAAAAGGAAGCTGTAGAGAGCCATAATTATGTATATACTGACAAGAAATTGCACTATAAAAAAAATCACATAGTGCATGAAATTAAGTATGATTAGTGATATATATTAACGTTAAAAAGTTAAATTATAAATGTTGTGAACTTCATTACTTGTAAAGTATTTCTTAATTTTACAAGAACATGACCATTAGTAACATTCATGTCAGGGTTTCATTGCTATTAAAGTTTAATTCCTGAGAAATTTTTGAAGGTTTGTCCAAACTGTCATTAAACCTGAGAACATGTAAACCATCACTAAAAATATTTCCTTTTCACATCAAAATATAATTGCCTTTTTATAGGCTATAAGTAAAATTGTATTAAAAAAAAAAAAACCAAACTGCCAGTTAAAGGTGAGAACTATTGAATGTTCTAGAGCAGGGGTCAGCTACCTTTTTGTTATGTACTGACTTAGGGTTTTAAAATCATTCAGTGTGCTAACAGCATATGTATTTTTATACAAGTCAAGGTCAATATACCTGTTCTACAATATATTTTATGAAAAATTTCTCAGAGTTAACCTGTAGAAAAAGACAATATGCATAAAGGTAAAAGGCAATAGGAAAACTGTATTATTAGCTGATGTGTTTTGTCCAATGTGAACTTTTTCAAGGCAAAAAACTGAATGAATTTATTAAAAACAAAGTAACTCTTAACAATAAACAATGTTCTTAGCAACCAGAAGAATTTAGAAAACGCTATTCAATTGTATTCATATTGTCATATTTTATTATAGTAATATATATATATATATATATATATATATATATATATATATATATATATATATATATATATAAAATTATAAATACAGTGTAACCCGGATATAAGAGAGTTGTCGGGACCTGAGAAGAAGTCTCTTATATCCGGGTTTGGTCTATTTTACATACATTAACACAGGCTCTAATTTGGGACCAGAGAAAATCTGTCTTATATTCGGGTTTCTCTTATATCCGGGTTACACTGTATATATTAAAATTAAAAACAATTTAAAATTGAAACAGCTAAATATCTTCTTTGTAGTAGTTATTGGTTCGGTCTTTTTGGCAGAAAAATATATCTTCCTGAAGTGACAATGGTATGAGGAATGCACATTGATGTTATCCAATTAATTTTCAATTTGGGTGAAAAGTTGTAATTAAGGAATATCAGATTTATCATGAAATTCTGATTGTAATCAGTTATTTCCAAGTCAAACACCAGCCAATGAAAAAAAAAATTTTTTTGGTCTACCTTGAATACCTTACACTAGGGCAGGTCGATTTTGGAACCGTGGTAGAGCACTGAATTTGAAATTTGTGGTTTGACATAATAAATAACGACATAAAATATTTTTTTTTAAATTGTTACCATTTTTGAGGAAATGAGTTTAAAGTTTAAGTTTGTTTAAAATTGGAGCATTGGAATTTCATTCTGGTGATGAGTGAAAGCTTTATAGCACAGCCGTATAAAATTTATAGCACAGCCGTATAAAATTTATAATTTATTGAAGCTTTACAAACAAGCTTTAATGGACTTTAAGATGCATGGCACAAGCACATTATTACTAAATCATTCTGCCATCAAATAAGACCTCCATTTACTTGTGGTGAACAGCCCCATAGAAGCAAACGAGCCAGAGTGGCTTGCATAGGAAAATAAGGGTCTTACCTTAACGTGCGGCACGTGACATTGGCAAGTTTGCTCTGTGAAAATGGCATTACTCTCCTGTCTAGCAATTCCAGCAGTATGTGTGGTAATGAGGGTTTTTGTACAGTTTGGCATGCTTCCACCAATAGCAAGTCATGTGCTGAGTGGTCAAACTGGAGGAGGCTATTTGCCTGGGTAACAGAATAAAAGTGAAGAACGCTGATTGGTTGGTTGACCACGGTGTTGGCCTGATAAGAGGGCTGAAGCAGTGAAAACAGGAGAAGAAAAGACTGATTTATGTTGTGAAGTGTTCAGAAAGCAAGAACAGCAAGTTGAACCAGCGGTATCTTTATTTGTACAAGTGACATTGTAGTATTAGACTCAGTTAAACTACATTACTTCAAAGGGAAATTATACTGAACAATTTAGTTATATTATGATGCAATATATTATGTATGCAGTGCATAATTAGATTTCTAGTTTGAATATATTTTTCATTCAATTTATCTTGTACAAAAAATATCAACATTATTTATATTCTTTAAATAGTAAAATTTTGAAGTTTGTAAGCAAAAACCTGCCACTATTTACATTATTCGGACTATTGTCCTCATCTTTGTCGCCATATTTATTACGTTTCAGCTGTTGTACACTCTGGCCTTCTTCAGGTGGTTGGAATGTCGAACTGAACCCTTTATTTTGCTCACTGGGGTTGAATGTTCCACAAGCCATGTTTTTAATGGATATCAGTTATCGCCTGTTAATTCCCCTCTCCAAGTTCTCCACTGCCTTAACCGGGTATTGAACTCACACTGTTTGGGTCCTGTCACTGGATCTAACCAACACTTTTATCCATTATGCCATGTGTTTGAATTTCTGAGTAATATAAAGCTAATGTCTTCAGCAACTGTTTTGTTTTTTTTGTTTTTTTTTTTAATATAGCAGTGCTCATATTACAATTTTTGCTGTTCAGTTCGACATTTCAACCACCTGAAGATGGCTGGAGCATACAATGGCTGAAATGTAATAAATATGGCAACAAAGATGAGGAAAATA